GGTGGGGACACAGCCACACTGCTCAGGCACCGCCACCTGCACGGAACAGCGGTTTTGGCCATGGGGTAAAGCTCATTAAAGTCCAAGCCCCAAAAGTGGTGCCCTATTCCTGGCTGCCTTATAGTATCTATGGTGTTGCAGTGGTGTGATTTCCTCTTACACTACAAAATAGTCAGGGTGAGGGGTTTTTCCTTCCCTTTGAGGAAAACAAACATTGAACTATTTAAAACAGCATACCTGAATTGCACAGGATAAGAGCCCTGTGTCTTGGACTAGATGACTTTGGCAATTTCCCAGCCATGCAAGACACTGAATGCAGATATTTGTCTGAGACAGAGGATGCAAATAAAACAATATCATAACTCATAGAGATCACTGCAGGAACCCAGCTGGAGGGATGAGCAATGTTACACAGAACTGTCTGCATCCCACCCACAGTAGAGATTTCATTTTCCATCATCTCTGATAATTAGTGGCTTCAGGAGAGTATTATACATGCATTTTGGCCTACAGGAACTGCAATTTTTATGGATAGGCTACTTCCCCTAAAGAAACACTGCTTCCAGCTTCTATAAACCATTCTACAACATTAATGAGTATTTTACGAGCTGCCCATTTACTCCATTACTGAAAACTACTATTATGACAGTGCTCTGAATAATAAAATCCTTTTACAGACTTTTACTCCTACCCTTTATTTGAAATTGTTGACAATCAAAGTAGAACTTTGTGGAAGCACAAAGAAAAAATGAACAGGCTTGATACCTGCTATCAAATTAGTGTTTTGAAATACTTAGGACAACTGTAGATACTCACTTTAATAATTTTAAGCTGAAGCAAAAACAGAGGGGGGAAATACAAAAGCAGAAAGTACAATAAAAATGCAAACTATTTTCACCACTAATATAAAGACAATATAGATAAAAGAGAAGAAGCTATAACAAGTCACAATCATAACTCATAAAATGTGCACTTTTTCATCATAATGATGAAAAAGTGCACATTTGCAGGGAAAGTTCTCTGCAGTTGCCTTGCTTGGTGATAGTGATGCTTTCTTTAGCAAAGTTTTTGAAAGCATGAGCTGCAGTGAAGATAAAAGATCTTGCTATATGCTTTGGCTCTGTGGTACACATGCAGTGCATGGACAAGACAAGCAAGAGGAGCGGATGAGTGGATGGTATAGGTGAAATTTGCTTCAAAACTTTACAAACACACTACTGAACTCCACAAAAGGGTACTTGGCAGTTGCTTCTACGCCACAAGAAATCCTAAGACAACACAATTTTCCATTTTACAAGGAACACCAGGGATTATTGGGAAGCCTTACTCTCATCTTAGGCAATTAGAGGTGTAAGAAAGTCAGCTTGCTGATCGTCTGTGTGACCACCAGATGCACATGCTGTTTCTAATTGTTCACACCTCCCAACAACCACCAGCCTTGGTGATATCTATCTTTCCTGTCTTTTTACCCTGAGCCAACCTAAATAGCAGTGTTACCCACAGTCCAGAGGGCTGGGACAAAGGGGAGGCAACAGATCCTGGTGAAGGGAAGTGAGAAAGAAAAGAGGTACATCATATAATTCTTTCTACAACATATAATCTATCTACACAAAGACAGAGAACTTATCTCATGGCCCTGTAAAAACAGAGGCAACTATGAAACTTGCATTAGATCAAAAGGAAACAAGCACACAATGATGCATACTCCAGAGAAATTAATTTTCCAATGGTCACATTTAAAGATAAAAAGGGAAAAAGAAGACACGTGAAGTGATGAAGATGACGAATGTGGAGTGCCTGACTATGACATCAGTCAACCAAGAATATAAATCTATTTCAGCATAATATTAGTGCATTACTTAAATGTGAGCCCTATACTTGCTGCCAAAACAGCTTTGGGCTCTGCTGCCCAGCTGCTCTTTTGGGGATAAGCAGCCAACTTTGAATACTTTCAAAGGCTTTTGTGGGTAATTTAGAAACAATAATAGTTTATGCTCCCATCACTTATTCGTAGTTTGATATGCAGTGCTACACTTCCATTCTAAAACTACCATCAATAAGGTTGAGGGTGTTCAGAAAAAATAAATTACTCACATCCTTCTGATTACCCATTGCATCATTTCTATAACTGAGCAAATATATAAACTGTTGCCTAGTAATTGTAAAAAAAACCAACCTAAAACACTCTACCACCCAGACGCTTCCACTGATGACAGTCACAAACCCTGTCCAGAAGAGACAGTGGCATTATGCTTGCTAAAAATGACTGATGGTGTCATGCTCCCATTTCATAGCTAGACATCTGTTCAAGCAAAGCCCCATCACATTTCTCTCAGAAAGGTCAGCAGATCTCATGTTACTGGTTTAAAGATCTCTTCGTGATGTGCTGGATTGTTTTGAATTATGTGCACACACTTTTCTATGTATCTTCATGCAGATACACTACTCAGAACTGCAGCAGGGACAGGAGAACACCATGATGGGGTGGATTGGAAGGACTGCATCCACATAAGCAAAGAGTTTGTAATATAGAGCTTCCAAACCCTCCTGATTTCCCAACTGTAACCGCACACATTTGAAGCCTGTGCACTCTGTAATTTTCAGGGTAACTTGGAATGTAGTAGTCAAGGTGGAAGAACTGAAAGTTACATTCCTGAAGATATGTAAATCAAAATATAGGTAATATTGCTTTTTGGTAGTTTTTTAAAAGGTAATACATAGAACCTATAGGATGGTGCAACTGTAAGGGACCTGGATATCAAAGGACAAACAGGCAACCAGGAGTTCATAATGAAACTCAAATGAAATCCAGGCTGTAAACTGCTGGCAAACCCCAATCAAGCAGGTCTACCTTTTCAGAGCTTTCACAGGTTTCTGCTGTAAGAAAGAAGTCACTGCAGTGCAGAAGGGAATGATTACAATGATACAGTTTTTCTCTGAAGCAAACATTTTATACCTGAAGACTTATAAAAAAAAATTAGGTTCTAAAATTCTTCTTCTAAATTATTAAGGTACAGAGATAAGGGATTTTAAATAGTATCTAGACTAAAAAGGTTTGTGTAAATTTTTTATTTTATATAGCAATTTCAGGAGGACATATACTGAAAATGAAAATAAACACCACTTTTTCTTTCCAAGATATAAAACAGTGTTAAAAAGAAATTTCACAGTTAAGTATATTAAAACACCAATGGCAAAACCTCTAAAAACTACTATTGAACTTTGTTGGAACACAATGCACTATTGATTAGCCTTATGGACAGAAAATGTAACACATTTGTGAATGTTATGTGTCCTATGTGGAAAGACAGAATGGCCAGCACTACTAAACTCACAGCACAGCATCCTAATGACCCATGTGGCTAATTTTAAAGGTGACTATGTAGAACTGGGCTCTATCCTGTGCCACTTTTGGATCCTATGCAATCATTAAGTATACTAAAAT